ATCGCTTCTCGGCCTTTTCGGCTAAGATCAAAGTGTAGTATCTGTTCTCGTCGGTTTGAAAGCCGGCGCTGGTCCCATTGGGGCCAGGCTCTTTCAAGCGGATTTTTGGACATCGGCCAGGATCACCCGGGTTCACTCGGACCTGTGCCACGGATCGTCTCGACACTGCAGTGCCGTCGAGTTCGGTCCACTCCCCGTCTCCTTCGGCAAACGGGAACCCTCTTCTTATAAAATAAAAAATAAAATATCAAGTTCGATCTATTTTCACAAATTCATTAAACAGAAAAATTACTTTTAGTAATGATTTAGTAATGAAGCAAATGGTTTCATCATTCGCCTGTTTAAATTTCGATTTATCTATAATGACAATAGATCGAAAAATCATGATTTTATTTTGAAATCTTGCAAATTTAGATGCTCTAAAAGAATACTCTCAAGATCTGTTATGCTCTATTAATCCGAATATTAGATTTATTACATCGATTAACACTAAACGATTGACTTAACATACATGTTTACAATGAAATAATTCTGTTTCCCATATTATTGATCTATTTGTTAAACATAACTATGGAACAATGAGCTTAAACAAACACAACTATTCAAACAACTTTTTGTTTTGTTTAAAGATAATGCTCAATCGATCTTTCAAATATATTCATTATGTTTATGAAATTGTTTATTGAAGGATTACGAAGTAACTCTGTGAGTTTTGCTGAGAAAGATTCAATGATTTATTGAAAAAATGAGTCAGTCAGAATCTTTAGGTCTAGATAATAATTTTACATTTATCAACAAAACAAATAGGAAAACATTCTTAATTTAGATCGAAGTATATTGGTAGCTAATCGTGCAATTGTGTTTCATATCAATGGTATCGAGATGAAAATCAGAATAGAGCAAAATGCCTTTTCGTTGACAGAGTTCTTTCTCGAAATCTGTGTTCAAAGTCACAGTTTGTTCATTCGTTGAGTATCAACATTTTGTATCATGTTTATTTTATTACTGTTGTAATTGTAACTAGGTAACAACAATAAAATATACCGTAAATGAAAAAAAATTGAATGCCAGACTCGATTTGAACAACGATAACTTGTCTTTGTTTAAAAGTATCCAACGAATGAATCAATTGATGTCTGTTTTCTATAAGTTTAAAGCAAAGATTTCATTTGACTTTCAAGATTAGATCGAAACTCACTCGATAGTGTTTAATCACGATGAATAAATATTAATCAAATACAACTAGTTTCATTTTAAATGAATTTACAATAAATTAACAGGCACGAACGTGTTTGGAGAAGTCGAATTGGCCAATTTTTTTATAGTGAACAGGAAATTAAAATAGTAACTAGTGGATGCACAATCTGAAAGACAAATATCAATGTATTCACCTCCCATCGCCAACTGACTACAAGATGTGAGCTCGAATTTATTTAAATGGGGGGCAGAAATGTTCGATGTACACATATATCACTGTTGTTGTTCTAATTCATACATTCAAGATAATACAATGTTTGCTAC